CCCCCACATAGCTGAGGTGGGAAGTCCCATGTCACAGGGCCTGTGTGTATGTTTGCCTGGACCTGGACATATAGATATATAATCCTTTCCAAACAAAATGAAAAACATTTGTGTGTGTGCGCATGATGATGTGTGTGTGTGCTGATTGGCAGGTCGCCGAGAAGTATCCCAACATCAAGGTGAACAAGAAGAGTTGCACCATCAAGATCTACGGATACCAGCGGAGGTTTGAGGGGGCTGACAGGCCGTTGATAGAACATGCGCAAATGGCAAATGCTTTCTACAAAGCTGCTAGTCATCGTTGGTCGGAGCTTTCAAAACTTTCAAAGACTCTTGTCTGTACATCACAACCTTTGTATGTGCTGTGAGGCAAAACCAAACCAAGCCTGTAGTTCCTAAGTCACCACCCCAGCCCGTGTCTATATTATATACAACTGTCCTTTCTTTCTCTTGCTGCATGTGCCCAACCCTAGGAAAGACATGGTGAACATTGCCGTTGAACTGAAGATTCCCAAGACAGGTAGCCTTGAACAACTCAAGACCAGAATTGTTCAGAAATGGTTGGAGACCACACCCGAGCCTGAAGTGCTGAAGATTGGCGGCTTTGTCAGTGAAGGTGCTGGTGACACAGGTTCAGCACCTACGGGGCAGGCTTCTTCTGCGCCTGACTTGACCCTCTTCAACAGGGGAAGCATTTCGCTGGGTCCGGGAGACGTTCAGGACAAAACAACTTTTTTCACTGGGATTGAAGAGGGCCCAGCCTTGCAGGATCTTGACCCGCCAACAGCCAATGACCTCCTAGAGCAAGCTTCTGATGGTGCGTTGCCTCTGGCGGCTTTAGTCAAGATTTCCCATGGCTTCCAAGAAGTGGGGGATCATGTGGCTATTCTTTTGGCAGGCTGGGCTTTTGCGGGAGCAAGTCAGACAAATCATCATCTGTATGTCCTAAGTCCTAAGTCACCAAAGAACCATATAATACAAATCCATATATATAAAGAGAGAGAGACTGGCAATGTTCCTGCAGGATCGTTGGAAATCACGAAGGTCAAGATCAAGCGGAACATTGTCCGCAGGGTGGTGATGGGACCTCAGAGCTACTTTACCCCTGAGATCCTCAAAGATGAACTCAGTGCGACGGGCCTCGAGTTGTGGGGCATCATGTTGCAAGAAGACTCCCCTGTTGAAGCAACATCTTTCTTGGAGATGATGGGCATTGCTGACGTGAACTTGCACGTTGGCAAGATGGGCAAGATGGCGCCCAAAGAGCTTTCAGAAGGAAGTCAATGGATTTCTTCCAACTTTGTGAACTTTGGATCAGCCGAGGCAGGCTGCATGTGTTCGCTCATTTAAACACCAGTGCAAGTGTTTCCTTGGCATGGGCAGCAAGTCCTATGTCATGCAAGTATAGCAGTTGCATTCTAATTTGATTATATATATATATGTGTGTCTTTTTAGCTGCAAACAACATGCATAGAGTGCCGCATTGGGTTGCCACCCCAGGTCAGAGTCATGGGAAGAGGCAAACATGCTAAGCTTCTAGCAGGCTTCCGGTACCTTCCAGATGATGAGAAGCTTGGTAAAAGCACCAACGTGGGATGAGTCGGATGAGTCAGATGTGATCGTAAGTCCTGAGTCTCCAGACCCAGAAATACATAAACAGAAAACATATACATGTGTGTGCAAATCGGTTTTCCCAGGAAAGGCGTCAAGAGAACTGCTGAAGAAATTGCTACACTTCCTCAAGAGACGGTGATCAAAAGGTTGCGGAGCTTGAAAGAGGTGGCTTCCAGTGCCATAGAGGATGCCAAGTCTGAAATGGAGAAAGGCGAGTTGGTTGGGCAATTTGTGAGCTGTTCAAACCGGTATGCTTCCAAAACGAGAGTGTGTGTGTTTTTTTGTCACATATGTCCTATGTCACGTGGTCCCTATGTGTTGTGCCCCTGGCAAGGCCAGCTGGTGCAGGACCGGATAGATCGCACACTTCTCCAAGCAACCCACAAGCAGGCCGACCTTGATACCCAGGTCACTGTGATTAAGAAGTTCACGTCAGGCATCCTTGCAAATCCACATCTTCTTCAGGCAGAAAACGTTTCAGTGTTCGACTTGGGGAAGCAGTTCGGAATCTCTACAGCTGCAGAGGAGACTGAGGTGATGGGGCTTCTGGCAGTAGCCGTGGCAAAAGATGCTGGGGTATCACATGCAGATTTTGCAGAGATGTCAGTTCCCATGACATCAGTTGTGAAGGAGTCCTTTTTCTTGCAGAAGACTCTAGAGGAGGATCTTGGCAAGACTTCAAAGAAGGTGAACAAGTACAAGAGAAAATTTGACCAGCTGCAAAAAGGACTTTCTACCAGGAAAGCACGGAGAGAGGGCAAACTGAACAGAGCTCTCGAGTTTGAGGATGCGGAAGAGATCAAAGAAGTTTACCTCTCCAAGCGAAACTGTCGGAACCGTGCCCGCAAGGGAATCAAAAAGATTCGGAAGGCCCGTGACATCGACACTGTGAACATAGGCACGATCAATCGGAAGTGCCGGACTGACCGGTTGACCATTTATCAGAAGATGCAGATCGTCAACTTTGCCAATTCCAAGGTTGAAGAGTGGGAGAAGCAGCTCAACAGTCCGCGAAAAAAAACGAGACTGCACAAGAACAAGCTGAGACACCGTTCGTTCAAGGGAATGAATCTTCAGCGGATTTGCCAGCAGCGCTTTCCAGAACTAGGAAAAATCAAAGTGTGTAGTCTCTTGAAGATGTCTGAGGAGCAGAATTGGGCTTCGCTGTCTGAGGACCAACAGAAACGATGGTTCCAGTTGCCAGATCACTTGAAAGCAGCCATGGGGTTGACCGACAAGGTCAAGGGCTGGAAGGCATTGGGCACCGACCACCTGCAGAAGTGTGCCAGAGAGAAGGGGTTCATCAACAGGTGGAAAGTTCCCGGGCTTGTCATGCAGGACAGTACATCATGGCATTTCACATCAAAGACCCCATCTCTTCAGAAAAAATAAATATATAAATAGGTACACATGACATAAATATATATATATATATAACTATGTATGATTAAGATGGTAAGTCCATTTGTCCTGTGTCATGAAGCTTAACTCATGCCTACAAGCGAAACAAAAACAAACCAAGCAGGAGCTGAATGCAGCTATGGAAGAATTCTGCCTCGGCAAATCCCTGGCCACTCAACGCCGGGACATTGTGATTGGTCGACATTGCGTGCCTCGGCATTGGGAGTTCTGCCTGGGCATGTGTGTATTGAAGCTTTGAGAAATCATGATTGCAAACAATCACAAGTCACATGAGATAGGACCTGCCCTGGATTCAATCCCAGGTAGTGACTGTCAGAAGGCTGGCCCGTGAATACAATGCAGGTCTGGCCAAAGCTGTAGATGAAGCGCAGAGGCACAATGCAGAGGTTGTGGAGATGTTCAAGAGTGCTGGTGTCAAATGCAAGTTTGTTTCAAGATCTTTGCTTCCCATGCCACAACCTTGTCCGGAAGACTTGGGTATGAACTGGGTGCGCAAATTCCTAAAAGCCTATTCCTGGAGGAAAACTTCCCGCAACACCGCAGGTCAATACTTGGAAACTTGGAATGGTTCACCCACAACCCACAAGTCCTATGTCAGCATCCCTCTGTGTGTGTGTGTGCGTGTTGTGTACCCAGATTGTTTTTGGCTGTTTCTGTGTGAAAGCACGCTGAGGAGTGGCAAGATGTACGCCTCCAAGCTGCGAGGCGCGGCGTCCAGGAGAGCATCGAGAAGGACAATGTGCACAAACACTTGATCCTGAACTTAGATCAAGTGTGGAGACAGAGTCTGAGATTCAACAGCCACGTCCTGATGAAAGCCAAGCAACGCCAGCCGGATGCATTGGTTCCACCAATTCATTCTGCTTTGCTCTGCTATATATATATATATGTATTACATCATACATATATATATAATACCCGGAACTCGGCTCGGAACTGAGAACTCCTATCTCATGCAGCGGACATGTCCATCCAAGGTTCCAAGCAACATGGCCATCTCATCGCGAGGAGCGATTATATTTCTGATCATCGCAAGTCTGTCACAATCGTGACATCAAGTTGGAGCTCAGGCCATGGCGGCCCACTTGGCATATGCGTACCCGATTCTTTCATGCCTCAGAAAGAAGTGGACCAGTTCAACGCAGAGCATCTCGGGGAGGCAATGATCTTCAAGAGCGAGACATCCTCGCACTTCATGTGCGGGGAGACCTTCCTCGTAATGCTTCATGGCTTGGTCAGTCCAGCATTGATGAAACAGCGACAGAAGTTGGGCGTTCCGCGAGACACAAAAGCTCTACTACTAGTCGATGCATGGACCGGATTCCATTCCTCGAAAACCGGACTAGATGCAGCGCGCGAAGCGTGGAGCCAACAAGCATGCTGCTTGCTCCCAGCCGTGCAGGTGAGAATTTTTAAAGGAGGATGTCCAATCGTGTGCAATCATGTGGGCAAATAAACATGTAAGTCCTAGGTCCTATGTCATGGCACCCCTCATGGTTCAGCGCCACGTCGGCCAAAGCATTTCAAAACATTTATATATATATATATATATATTTTTTTTTTGGTATTTCAAATCCAAACACCTTCCCGGTTCCCTACAAGAAGACTGGCCTGTTTGGCTTTGGTGGTTCTCCACCCATGTCATCAGTGACACCCATTGACCTGCAGTATGCATCCCTCAGGCTGGGGGATTCTCGGCCAATGGCCAACCAGTGGATCAGCTCCATCATCTTCTGCGGGCAAGATTGGAGCTAGTCGATGCAGACGATGTTGCTTGCGAGAGCGACCTACGGAACCGGCCCCGTTGCTTGTTTGTAAGCTGCAACTCTTTTCTTTCTTGTAATGAACTCCCAATTCACAGCACTGCACAACTCTCATGTCATGAGAATGAAGCATCTATCAGTGCTTGTAAATACGAACTCAATCAGCTTTTGAGCGGTGGCTGCATCGTTGCTTCAGGGTACGATACATTGCCAATAGCTCCCAGCGGGCAACCAGCCAGACCAAAGGTGTTCAACAAAGACACTTTGCCAGAGAGAACACTCAAAGCCTGGAAATCAGTGCCACGTGCTGCTTTTGTTGCATCATGGGTCGTGACCGGATACTTCCAGTCAGAACATTTCGAGGATGGAGCAGGTTTGACTCCTGAGGAAGCTTCCAAAGTCTTAGATGCAACCGGTATGCTGAGGGCAATGGGTGTGGCTGATGACATGGCTGGAGAGCCACCAAAGCCAAACAGGCCAGTCTTCTTGTAGGGAACCGGGAAGGTGTTTGGATTTGAAATATATATATATATACATAGGAAAACATGGGGGGGCCATGACATAGGACTTGTCAGATTTTGTTTTTCCTTAGTTTGACAGGTGCTCATTCTACACATGTGAGGTCTAGTGACCTAGAACTTCTGCCATGACATACCATGGTGTTTGCAGGTGGTATTGGTCCCTCGAGATGCCAGATGGAAACATGGCGACTTTGCCAACGGCCATCGCGCATGGCGCTGAGCGGGCCATTTGTGCCCACAGACGGGAGCGCAAAGTGATGGTAGCAAAGAAACCACATGGGTGGGAAAGCAAAATGAAGATTCTCAACGGCAAGATCTTTAGCTTGGTGTACAACACCAGACACGGCTGCATGGCCACTTCATCCTTCCTCAAGAAGCGCACAGCCAGGATCAATGGCAAAACAGAATTTGTGGGGAAGGGCACTGGCCACATAATATTGAGAATCCACCTGGAGCTTGACGATGAGAACAACATTGCCGGCCCGGGGTCATACTTTCTTTCAAGCCAGAACTTCCCGAAGAAAAAGATCGTTTGCATCGCCACCAGTGCTCCAATGAATGGTTTTGACTTGCTCCGTGAGAATTACGGAGGACCTGTGCCTGTGTGTGCCCCTTGTAATCACAGGGGTCATTCAGTTCCGTAGGCATATATATATATCCATAAGTGTGAGTATTATATATATATATATGATTTGTATCTACAATTGTTGTTTTTTCTGGACACACCGCCCCCCTGACATAGGACTTGTGCTGACTACAGAAGTAGCAGAAAAGGTATCCAACTACTATGTGCACCCCACCCAAACTCCCATGTCATCCGCTAGCAGGAGAAGATGCAGATGATGATGCTGCTGCTGAGCAAGGCTCAGACCATGGTGGGGAGGACGGTGAGGTTTCGCAGGATGATGAGGGCTATGGCGATGGCCTCATGGCACCTCCTGACGTGGATGTTCCCGAGGAGGCCGCTGCTGAAGATGACAGCTCTTCAGAAGCATCATCCTTGGATATTTGTGACGGGGAACCGGAAGGTCCAGCAGAAGGCGGAGCGGGGTCTCATGAGAAGACTTATCATTTGAGCCCTGAGTGGCAGCAGTTGGAACAAGCTGGAGGAGGATTAACCAACCTGCCTCCACTTATTGGTTGTGGAGTCAGCCGTCATCCGGCAGGAGGTTTCTGGTCGGCCAGATTCCCAGGACATCCGATTCGAACATCGTCCTGGTCTACAACCAAATCACCTTTGAAGTGTTTAGTTTTGTGCCTAAGGCACATTCTGCAGTTGTATCTAGATACATCTCACCCTGCAAACTGGCAGCAGTGGCAGGGTCAGCTCAATGAGCTAAAGGCATTTTTGTGAGTGATGGTCAGGAAATGCCAGGGTCCAGAGTCCAGAGTCTTTTGGTATGAAACCTTTTTTGTTCATCTGGATGCTGTAAGAATGAGACGAAGACAGAAAGACAGAAACAAAGATACCTAACCGTGGATTCTTGACCAAAGCTCGAAGTCCCATAAGCCCATGACTTAGGAAAGGTGGCCCAAAATACGCCACGACCGTGCACGATGACATAGGAACCAAGGGATGTTGAAAAATGTGCCAACTGCTCATGTCATGATGCATGTGATTTCTCTCTGACACATTGATTTCAGCATATATTTTTTTTTTAATTTTATTTTTTGATTGCTCCCTCAGGGGGGGTTAAGGCATATAGACAGGCCTTTTGACCAGGCACATGACTCAGGAGGTGGCTATCCCAACTGACTATGTCACTAGAACCGTAATTCCTATGTCACTAGACCCCTATACACTTATTTTTAAAATGCACTTATTTTTGATGTTTTTTGAAGGATTTTTTTTTGTATTCACTAAACCTTTGTAGTACATTAGGCACTCTTGGCAATTTGTGTAGTCTTTATTCAATATGCTTCTTTCCTGGCACAGTTGCATAGTTTTCAAGGTTTGTACGCCTGCTTTTGCCGAGTACTGGAGCCACTTTGCTTCGGACAGGGTCGATAAAACGCCTTCCTCTCCCTCAGCATTGCTCCCTGCAAGCTGTTCGCAGTCTCAACAGTCGTTTCAATTGCTTCAGTTCTTGCTTAACTCTTTCTATATGATCAAATGCGTTTAAAATTGAGCACCACACTGAAGCTGCGTCAACCTTCACAAGGGTTATTTCGCTTTATGCTTGTTTAAAGCATTTCCTTCTTAAGAGCATTAAGATCCAAATCAAAGAACGCATTAATTAAAGTAGCTAGTGGGCTAGACCAAGTTGCAACCTTCTATCCACGCAACAAGTTATTTCTTTTGGTGTCCTGCCTCAGTAGGTGTTTCTATTGCTCCACTAGTTTGTATTTGTTATGCTTAAGTTTTTCTACACGTTCGGATGTGCCTTAGCATTGAGCACCAGAAAGGAAGGCTGCTTCAATCTTCACAAGAACCTTTTCTTGGTAAAGTTGTTTTGCTTGAAGGTAAGGAGCTAGACCAGGCAGAAGAAGTTTGATTGATTTCTATCATAGCAACAAGTTGTATATATATATATATATCATATTCTTTTTTGTTGTTTTGTCATGGTTTTTGTGTCTCTTGGTTTGGACACGATGCCAGACAAAGCCAAATTCATACGGCAGCTATGAACATATACATAAAGCGCCTCAACGAGCAATGTTTCTACTTATACAATCCGTTGTTTTTTTTCTCTAAGCCTGTTTGGACTAGGGCTAGGAGGAGCTTTGTGAGGAAATAGGGCATCAAAGGTACTAAAGCAATCATAACATGTAAAATCTATTGGAACAATAGACAAGCTCTTTGGGATCAGGGCGAAGTTGCTGAGGGGAGAGTGTTAAAGCTCAAGTCTGCATATCTGAGATCAATCACTCAAAATGAGCACGCAAAGCCAAACAGCTTTGATCGATATCGAGAACAAATGAATACCAATGACGAGGCAGTTATTGACATTGAACAAGGAAGAGTCAAACTGATAATGCTTATCATTGGTGTTACACAGTTACACAGTTAAACTGTTACACATTGATAGTGGGCAGGTGAAGAGCTATTAATTTTTTGTCATTAACATTGCACATAATAGATTGGGCACAGGAAGGTAGAAAGAATATGCGTCTCGCCGAGGTCTCAAAGCAGTTCTTGAAATTTAGCATGCTATTTACGGTGATTTTGATAGGTTTTGAGCTGGTGTCTGTTCTCCCGCACACCCGCTCTCTTTCCTTTCGGGACTTCTTTGAGCGCTTTCGTCGCGTGTTTGCCTTCTTGGACCTTTCGCGGCAATGACCGTGCAGGATACATACGATGCTAGTGTTGATTTTGCTAGTTTTGAGCCCTCCAAAGGCGATCCCAATACTGGCTTGTGGAACAGGATCTACCATTTTGCTTGGCAACGCAACCAGGCGGCCTGAGGAAGCAAGAAGAACCAAAGCCCTTCTGTTGGTAGTTGGTCGGGTTGATGATGGTCTATGAAGTATGTTGATGTTGGCACTCGGGTCTTAATAACTTCGCCTGCACAATTGCCCCGATCCCTCGCTGTTCGACAGCTTTGAAGTTCGAGATGCTGTTTTTGACGTCCTCAGTCAGTGTCCTCCACGTCCTCATGTCCTTCACATCCATCCGTTGCCTAATGTGAGAGCATGCATATTAAAAGGGTCACAGGTTGCCGTATTTGCCACCAAATCTGTGCGGCAAGGTTCACAAATTACCACGTAATTTGCACGTGCATGTTCACAAAGTGCTGTGCGTGCCACGAAATCTGCACATGGACGTTGATAAAATGCTGCGACTGCCACGAAATCTGCACTGCCAATCAACACTCATCTCAGAGCCCTGCCAGTTCCAACAAAAGCACTTCCAAAAAGATGGCACAACGAAGCTTTCGCCATTCTATAGCCACATGTGCAAAGTTCACGATTCACAACACCTGCCACGCAATCAGAACACATCAAAGACCATGACCAAGTCCAAAGTGCTGCATTTGCTACGAAAACACCTCAAAGAACACCTCCTGCGCCTGCGCCTACCACGAAAAGCCGACTTCAGAGGATTCCAGAGCGCAGTCGAGGAAAGCACCTGCTCCAGCCCACCAGTTTGTGCAAGCCTGCATAATTGAAATGCACTTCGAAGACCCGAAAGGCATGAATGTGCCGCAATAGCATCGAATTGGCCACGCATGCCGGAGACCGGAGCACCCTCTATCAAACCCAGCCTTAACCTCTACTCTCAGAACCCCTAGTGTGTCCACACTGTTTAAGGAAAACACTCAGAACTTCATCATGGAGATTCGCAGAGAAAAATGAGAAAAACATAAATGCAAATCATGATGGAGCAACGCAAAGCACACTGTTCAGAATCGCTATCCGTTTCGCGGTGGCGAATCAGTCGCATCCCATAACCATATTGGTCAAAGTTTGCTTGCATTGTGTCACCACGATTGTACTCAGATCAGATCATGGCTCCTGGTGGGGTCCAAATCACTTGAGCACGGGCTACAGTTGTGTTATCGTGCTCGACCCAAAGATAAAAGATGAATGTTGTTGCAAAGGCAGTGTAATGATTGCAAAAATGCACTAGTCACCAGGCCATCCTTTTGGAAGTCACCATCGACATGGCCTCTGACATGGATGTGCAGATCAAGGCCCTGAAGGTGAGCACAGCAGGGCAAGGCTGCATGTCGAATGGCTTACTTCAAAAATCACTGAGCTTTATATATACAATTACAGTAGGTCATCAACCAAGGGTGGTGCCTTTGCGTAAGCCTATCTTTGCCGGGGTAATTTACTTTTACTTTCAAGATTGGAAGTCACTGTTGCAACGAGGTTCCCATTGGCGTGAAACGCTTGAGCATATCGGGGCAGCTGAATGTCCTTTTCCACCCTGTGTCCTCGAAGCCGCATCTTGGATAAGTCAGACTGAAGCTTGGAGATGCCATGCAGGTCTCTCGGGATGGCCCCTGTGTTGGCAATTTTTGAGCGCTTCTCCCATGCTCCCGAGGCCCTTCTTCGCTGGTGTCACGGTGTTCTTTGTTGACCCACCTGAGCTGGACATGGACTTCACCGGCGCTGCTGACTTTGTGGATTTGCCGGTGCTCCGTCAGGTGGTAAGGTCCACAATCCTGGATGCAGTAAGGGGCTTGGCAGTGTTGCCTGCTCGCATTGCCGTGGATCTCAATCCGGATGATGATACGGATCAGGCCGCGTGCTTGTCAATGATTTGGAATGTGGAAGTTGGAACCGGAGTCTACACAGTCGCAGCATATCACTCAGCCAGGTCAGTACTGATGTGAAAGGCATCGGGATATTGAAAGAAACGCCACACAAGTTTCTGCTCAGCTGCTAAGGCGGATCTGAGTTACCCGCCGCCCAAGGGTGTGCTGCGAGTCTTGGTTAAGAGCGCCAAGGGCTTGCGCGCGGCAGACCTGAAGCTGTCAGGGGCTTCCTCTGACCCTTATGTAATGATCGAGGCGGGGATGCTTCTACGCGAATAGAACACTTCAAGACAGAGCAGCAATGAGCAAGTGAACGGCATGTTTTGACGGATTCCAGGTTGGACAGCAGCAATGGAGGTCAAGTGTGATTGAGAAAAGAATCTTGCTGGCATTTGCTGCCAGTCATTAGCATGTACAGACAGATCATTTTAGATAGCTGAGCCTTGGAGGGATTCTGTTTCTCCCACCGGTGTCACGAACGACTTTCGTTTTCCGAAGCAAGGCTCCTGATATTGCTGCGTGGCTGTTGATATGCACGCTTATCCTGTGCTCCTTGACTTCAGGCCTGAATCCTGTGTGGGAGCATGGTAATGTCGTGGATCTCTTGGTCTATGAGCCGGGGCAAAAGGCAAACTTATGGGTTTTCGACAAGGACTTGGGCACACTCATCGCTTGAGCTGTCAAAGTGTCAGAAGTCATGGTAGCTCGATAAATGACTCCGAGGTATTGTGTGGCCATTTGATTTGGTAAGGTCTCTCATTATTTCTGTATTCTCTATTTGGAGTTTCTTTCTGAATCTCTGACCTGAGCACACAAGGCAAGAAACAGCCACCCCCAGGCCGCATGTATGCAGACCAGTATTGCATCGGGATGTATGCTGGTCACTGTACTGGTCACAAGAATTGCTCCTTGAAGGACCGCTTCAGTAAAGATGATTTGCTTGGAGTTTCCAAGGGCGTGGTTCTAGAGCAATATTTGAATGCGAAGACCCCGCAAGACTTCGTCTTGCCACTCTTCTTCGAAGGCCAGGCGCCTCAGGTCGCAAAGGTTGAAAGCAAGTTACAGTCTGAGTTTGGAGGACAGGTCAAAGTTACTTCTCTACTAGTAACAAGTGCATCGCTACTAGTAGCAAGGTGCATTACTACTAGTAACAAGACTACTAGTAGCAAGGTGCATCGCTACTAGTAGCTTCGTGCTCCTAGTAGTAAGGTGGTATCTTACTAGTAGCTTCTTCGCCAGTCTTTGCGCGTTAGGCAAGGAAGCCGGCAGCCTCACGGTTGGTGCACGTTGGTTCGAGCTCAGCGCTGCTGTCCCGCGCAGCTTTCCATCTGCTGTAGCGAGGGGGCCCTCACAGGTGTTGCTGGTAGTGAAGCTCTTAGGCACGCCTGAAAAGAAAAAATACATTTTCATACATTTTCTTGTATGATTCTACGGATTCTACGCAAACATGGTTCCGATCATCGTAGATAATGTCTGATGCACTTGCCGTAGCATGGCCACGAACAGTCACTAATTGAATGCAGGCATATGCAACTTGCCCAAGACCTACAAACCACCATTTCAAGTGAAAATCACCTGCAATGGGCATCAGCTGCTGACGAAGAAGAGCACACCTCCAAGTGCCTCAGAAGAAACTGTTTGCACATGGCAGACGTTACATTGCTAGCTGGTTGTAAACAGCTGATGAGCAGATGAACAACATTTAGCTCCTTCACAATGGCAAAGGCCGTAGTTTAAGACAAACATGCAGCCATTCCTGGTCTTGGTTGTCTTGATTTGAATTGGCTTTTGGGCAGCCAGAAAGTGCCTCCGAGCCTGGTTTAGGATCTTCGTTTGGGGCCTGGCTGACCAAGGCAACATTCGTCCTGTGGCAGAGGAGGTGGCAGACATTGCACGGCGTTTGAAACTCGCGAACCACAGCCTGCAGCAGATATCCGAGATCACCAGCCTGGACACTGCACCTATGTGGCAAACACGTATACACTATATATGTATAGAGTGTGTGTATTTAGATCTATATAGAGTTATTACAAAGGTTGGCATATATATATTTATAGATAGAGAGAGAGAGGTATATATATATATACATTAAACAATATATAACTCTATTGACTATATATATATAAAATATATATATATATATATGTACACACACATAGCCACATACGTTGTACATAGCTGTTTGAAGCCACGCTGAATGGCACGCGTGCACACACACATATGTGTCCATATGTGTGTGTATAATATATATATATATACAAAATGTGGGTTCTATTGTTAATGCCGCATGCACCCTGACACCAGGAAAGCGGTGACAGCAGCGCATGGGACGAGCTGGCCTTAAGGGCTGCCAGCCGCCAGCCATGGCCTCTATATCCCCACCAAACAACCCGAATATATACACGCTGCACACACCTGTTCTGAGCATTCAGTTCAGCTACTTGACTGCCCTTGGCTGTAGCAAGAATGCCACTGTATGCCAGGAGCCTCAATCCGTGAAGCTGGCACTAGCCCAGCACAGTCCTTCGAGCTTCTCACGCGCGCGGAAGGAAGCAACCCAGGAGATGAGTGCAACACAGCCTGTGTTCAACCAAGTGATGTATTTGTCGCTCAGCTGCTAAGGTCCTGGGGAAGCGGTCTGATATGGTCTGATCAGCAGTTTCAAAAATGCCAGGGAGAGGATGCCAGCTAGTACGACTATCAGGTTAAGGGACGTGGGAGTATGTAGCCGAACCTCAGCTGAAACGCATATGAAATTCTTCACGCAAAGCGGTGGAACAGGTGAGATTTCATTGTGTTCTTCATTCCGAGGCTGCTGCCCTGGACTGAGAAGGTGGCCAGAGGGACCGTGGTGCTAACGCTGCTGGACCGTCAGGATCGGCCCGTCGCGAAGCCCATCACCAAACGTCTCAACGACGTGATTGGCACTGTGGAGGGTGGCTTCCAGCTCCACGGCGGTGGGACGCTCAATGGACGGCTGAGCACCTCTTGGTTGGCGATCCCCAGTTGAGCGGAAAAAGTGATGCCAAAGCTGTTTCGAGCTGGAGGAGGTGCTTGGTGTTTGTCAGTCTATATAAGTGACCTAAGTAAATAAGCCCTTCGCAAGTTTGTAGTACTGAAGTGACCTCAATATATCAGTACAAGTGCTTCACAAGTTTGTAGTGCCAAGATGCGAGAGATAGTTGCCAATATTGAGACTTTTGAAATAGATGTGCCTAAAATCGTCTAAATTCATCAAAGCCATGAACGGTGCACTGCCAAAAGCTTTGAACAATTTTGATGGGAAAACGGAAAACGTGCTGTTTTTGGACTCATCTTAGGTATGGAGGCACGCGCGGGCTTGTGAAGCGCACAGGTGTATGGAGAAGGTATGTGAAAAAGCCGCAAGATTCACACATATGTTCTTCGAATCTGCCCATGACTGCCAGCGGTGGTAGCCTCACTTAGGAATTTAATTAGATTGACATGGGTTGTTGCCATTCGTCGCTTGTGATACCTCCCCACTGTCTCATCAGGCTGCCATTACTTCCTGTGAGCAGGCCATATCCAAGCTTCGGGAGGCCGTTCAGGGTCGGAGGGAAAATAGAAGAGGCGAGAGGTCTTTGTGTTTGTGAAGCCATGGTGCGGCTAATGGTGTGGTACTTGCCTCAGAAGGGTTCACAACATGTTCCAACTTCTTTTTGAGATTGTCCGCTAGGCTTCCGTTACCTGTTGCTACCGACTGCTGGTTGCCATTTGTGCTTGGAAGGCTTCCTGAGCCCTGGAGACTCGACGCGGGAAAGAAAAGATGCATCAGGAAAATGGGTTGCGATCTTGGAAAGGTCAGCGTTCAGAGCTCAAACCGAAGATAGACCTAACACGATTACCGGCTGAGCCTTCATGTTTACCAGGACTGCTGCCACAAAATCTTTCACGGGTTCCGACTGATCCGTTTAGGCAACACCGCCATTGCTTGTTGCTAAGGTGGCATGATTGGTCAATTTATGTTCCGCCCAGCTTTGGTGGACTAGGCCCACTAGGTCGTAGTTAAAGAAAGAAAGTGATGGACCATTTACCTTGTAGACCGAAGTGGTTATCATTAAGAGGAGTCGCTGCTGTCACATTATTCAAGTCAAGCCATGGCACTATCTGGTCTTTTGCCAGCCCTTCTGTCTGCAGTCGCTTTTGGTCTGCAATATGTGCCGGTGAAGAAATACAAGCGCCTTGGACCGTCCCAATGACTGAAAGCACATTCAGAGTAGGAGGCCTCCAGCTTGGTGCATAAACGGCGGGGCAAGAGTCTTGAAGTTGTGCCAAGCGGTCGCAAAGTTCCTGCGGTGGATATGTCAGATATGTATCTACTGTAACATGTAACATGTACATCCTATGCTATATATTTTACAATTCTTCCCTTGACGTCGGACATTAAACCAGCGGCACCTCCCCTTTGAATGGTTTGTCTCAGAAAGAGACTAGCATGTTGATTCAGTGTGGAGCGCCTTTGCTGAAACAGGATCTATGATGGCACTACCTTCCAGCAGCCTAGACGCAAGTGATGCCAGACATGAAGTTTTTTTGTTCCGATAGTAGTAATGCCCTGTTTACGGTTACTAGCGATGCACTTATGATTCCTTGAGTATTGCCTGCATTCCTTCCCAGGTGGTTCATGTGCTCGGGCATTCTCTTCGTGGGCGTTTCTGTCGCGCTCCTGCATGGAGATCTCCAATATTCTGTGCCGCCCTCTGTGGTCATGGGTGGGGGTATTTGGGCACTGTCAAACTTTGCTCCTTGTCGGCAGGAACAGGGAGAGTTAGATGTGTCATTGTAGCCCTTCAGGTTTCAAGTTTGTTCGCTTGGCTCAGTTTGCCTGATTTCGGGCTTTCTTGGAAGCCACTGTAGCCCAGGCCGTGCTGCCACTAGTCAAGCTTCTGGGTATTGGCTTGGGCTTCTCCTTGTACCACTTTCAGAACATGATTGTAGGCCACGGGGCAGTGTGTGGAATTGTCAAAGAAGTCGTCAAAGAAGTCTTCAGAACTCTAACCTCCAAATAGTATAAACAGGCAAGTTGACACATAAGCAAGACAAACAGACAGGGACAGACAAATACAATACAGCAATGAAAGACGGAGATGGAGAAAGATGGTGGTCGACGAAGGAAGGCAGGTAGGGAGGGAGGGAGGAAGCAAGGGAGGAAGCGGGGAGCAAGCAACAAGTCCTCCCACAGAGAAAGGACTGAAGTGAGTTCATTGACAGGATACTTGGTCGGCCGAAATGGCCTCTTTGGGCTGCCCAGGCTTCAGCCAGCCTTTGCAGGCAGCCGCCAGCCTGAGCATTCATGACTGTTTCACGAGTGCAATGTTTTGTGCTGGTGTTTGCTTCGAAGCCGAGATGCTGGGGGGCAGCGCAGCCGCCAAGGCTTGTATGTTTGTGACCTCGGTTGTTTGCTGGTTTTGGTGTCTTTTGTCAGGAGCTCAGTGTCTGCTCTCAATCCCCATAATCAGTTTCCTTGTAGCCTTCTGGGCCTAAGGTTGGTTTGCTTCTAGTGGAGGGCAGAGGCAGTGATAGTGAGAAGGAGAAAGAGCCTGGCCCTGCACCCTCAGCGTCCCGGCTGTGCAGACCATAGTAGAATCTAGAAGAATCCAATGTGAATGCTAAAAACACCTATGAACTTATGAACATTCTAGAGCAGAGATTTGCTGTTGATGGTGACTTGAGGTCCATGGAAAGGGTCAGCTTGATCAGATTGAAGAGCAGCACGAGGAGGAAGTTGCATTAGACAGGCGCGGGGTTGGTGGAGCTTGTTTGGTCAAAAGGGAACGGCATGATTGACAAAACTTGGCATGTACTGAATGCATGGTGGCTCAGGAATTTGCGTCTCTTAGAGTCCAGTGGATTCTCAGCCTTTGCTGTAGAGGTTGAAGACGACGAGCAGGAGCATACTTTTTTTCTTTCTTTCTCGTGCCAAAGGTGTGCTAACTAACCGGCACTAACTCAAAGTTCTATGAAAGACTCTGTCACACCTGTAGGCACCCCAAAGGCCAACATCACTCAGTACAGCTTGCGCAGAAAGTAGACAATAAGAACCACTATATGAATATGGAAGACATTTTGGAAAGTGCTTTGGCCTCAAGCGGTTAGGCACCACACAGCCCTGATGCAGCACCACCAGAAGCAGAAACGGAAAGGAGGAGAGCTGGCAGAGTTAAGAAGTGACTGTACACAAGTTTGATTGGTAGTACTCCGAAAAGTGAAGCTTAAAAACCAAGAGCTTACACAACAAGTGCAGCCTTCATATGTATGCCTTCAGCATAAGACACTGAGTGTGGTTGCAACACGAGGAAGACATGGCGGAAAGTTGCGTTGGGCGTTCTTCTGGCGTGGGGTTTGGGTGGGGGTTTGGGCCGGATTCCGGGCCGGCTTGGTGCCAGCAACCATACATATATACGGTAAGTATACTGTAGTTAATCATATATATATACACATATCGTATTGGATTGTATTGTATTTCTTTTCTTTTTTGCTTCCAGTCTTTGATTGACAATTGAATTGAAGGGCTTGCTTTGATTTGTAGAAATTCTACATGAATTCATCCTGTTCGCTGTGTGCTTTGGAGTTTTTGGTCCCACAGACAAGGGCTGATAGGCAAGCGTGGACGAAGCTCAAGTGCCACATTTGGCTTTGCACCTGCAAACTTGGAAGGCAATGGTGGCTGGAAGTTTGACTGGGGTGCAAAGTGTGCCTGCAACGCTGTATGGATTGGATTTTGGCATGCAAGTAGATGTCGATCAACTCTGGAACTGTGAGTGGGACAGTTGCACCGCAGCAAGACGCACGATTTTGCGACTTGGAATGAGGAGCATCCTGAGTATCCGACAACTGCAGTATTCTTTCCACAGTGTCTTGGAGCTTGGTTTGCTTCTACAGCAGCTTGGCTATATTCACAGGGCTCTCTTTTTGCCGAACCCTTGTGCCATTGCCAACTGCCCTGCGCACACAAGCCTCAAAGTGACTATGACTAAGGGCCTTTTGCCGTGTCCACTATTTCTTCCCCCTCGCAATTCCTTTCGGACAGGGTCTGATTTTCCATTGCTTTCTTTTCCTTTTTCAGGGGATCTACCTTTTGTACGGTGGCATCGCACGTCTTCGACGAAAGCCAGTCTTGCATGCAGTGATCCGTCCTGCAATGCTGAGCGGCTTCCTTTGGGCAGTGGGCTTCATTTTCATGATCCAAGGAATTCACGAGCCACTGAGTTGGAATGGAAGTCAGTGGGTCCGAAAATAATCATGACATTCTTGTCAAGGGCTTTTGTAGTTACTGTCCAATTTTGAAAATACAAGTCATTTTGTGTAAGGTTGGGCTTTGCGGTCGGCTACACTCTTGATGCAGTTGGCCCTATCATCATTGCAAGCATCATGTCCATGTGCTGGTTCAAAGAAATATCTGGCAGGCGTCAGCTGATGACGCTTGTCTTGCCATTCATGGTGAATGTGGTGTATTATCAAGCTCCTGGGTTGGTTCTCGGCAAGGGTTGTAGCGACAGGTTCGGTGCCCAATGAAAGAAATGCACTGAGCGCTGCAGGTGTCCACTCTGCACTCCCTACGTGATTCGCTTTCGATCTGAGGATCTATTGGTCAGCAGAAGCGCTGCAGCTGCTCGGGGTCATTTTGATCACTGCATTTAGTAAGCAGTGACCAGTGACTTGCAGAGACCAAGACTGCAAGGGAGGGAGGGTTTGCCTTTCGCAATTTCATGATCTACCACGTCAGCCGAGTTCACAAGCCTCGCGGGATTGACTTCAGACATCAAACATATAGGCGGTGGACAGTGGGCAAGGAAACTCCATTATGTGGTACTTTGCGAGATGACTTGGGACAGAGAAGCACCTGACAATCAAAGCAGAAGACAGAAGCGTGCTGTCGCTTCTTTATATTACAGTATCCAAAAAAGTTTGGGATGCTCTTCCGAAGAATGAAGCCCAATTCGTCGTTTTGTACGAGCCGGCCAAAAGTTTGGGTCTTGAGTTCCGAAAGTGTGAAGAAGCTTTGTCAGCGTGTTTGGTGGATGCAGGCATTAAATGGCATTAAGCCAGAAGATGCACGCCAAAGACTGAGTCCCGAAGGGGAGCTGGCAACTCGAAAGGCATATTTTGCAGATCCGTCGACACACTGACTGAGCTTGGGCTGCCAAGTCCCCTGCACCCTGTTGCATATCAATGCCGTGATGGATTTCTGGGCGCAGTGCCTGCATTGCTTCGGTTTGCCTTCTTGCTTGCAAAGACCTCATCAGAATCATCATTGATTCTACATTCCTGACAGGGCTTAGACAAAATGAAACTGATCTTACTGATCTAAGGCGCAAAGGAGTCTTTGGTTTTGCTTTTTGCGTGCATGCACCTTGCAAGTTTTGCTCGCTTGTTGGACTAGTGGAGAAATGGCGTGTTTGGTTTTGGCTCTTTGACCGACCGAGCTTCACCTTGGCTGTCAGCATTAGTCTTTGGTGTTGATTTGGTCTTCGAAGGGCGTTGCACTCGGCATAGCAATCCGAACGTGCCCAGACAGCAGCAATCTAGCTAATGACCAGGTAAGAGGTGCATGAACATGCATGAACATGCGTTGTCCTCCCGCTCTGCGTATTAGAGGCTCAAAGTGAACAAGGAGTAAGATAAAATAAGATAAACTTTATTGATTGTTTCTCTTTGATGGTGGCTGCCAGATGGTGGCGGGGGGTTTTTGCGCCTTTGGTGCTGGCCTCTCCGTTTCCTACGCCTCCACAGCATACACAAGACCAAGTCAGTGACTGGGCAATGTTGGGCTGCTGTATATGGAAACTTGATTCGCATGAGCTAGCAGCTATCATCCAAATTGCACTCGCTAGATTCTAGATTGTCGGAGTATATTTTAGTCGCATTCTGACCTGCCTGAAAAGCCACAATTCCGCTTCGCTGGCCACATGTGAAATTGTGCCGAGGCGTGCTTGAGCTCTCCAGAGCCAAGGCAAAGGCAGCAAGCGAGGCGGCCACACCTCAAGTGCCTTGCAGCACTTTCATGATGGAGTTTGATGTGCAAGCTGCGGTTGTATTTTGACGGAAGCATGAACAGCAGTATATAATAGTATATAAGGGTTGAACAATTGAAGGTGCAAGACCGATAAACACACCGGAGCCTTTCTGATTTTTTGATCCAACTGAATCAAACAGATCAAGCGTTGCAAGTGCTGCAGCTTTTGCTTCTGTGGCCTGGGCGCTACAGGTCTTGTCCTTTTTTGACTCGGTTGGCTTCCGTGAAATGCTGAAGGGCTGCTGCACTGAAGTGGCAAATCTGACTGCAGAGGAGCTTCTGCAGCGCTACAGGGCAGAGGCCCAAGTGGCAGAGCTGGCGCATGCGGCTAGACTTGGTCTTTGCACGACTTTAATACCATAGATTCAGGGGATTCAATAGTTTTCGACCAAAATGCCTTTCCCAAATAGTTTGTAACGCACTTGTAACTGTTTGAGTTCTCGTTTCTTATGTAGAAATCCGCAGTTCCTTGAAGCAAATCGGGTGGCTGTTGGAGATGACCTTGCTTGTCTCTCCACCTTTTGCCCGGCTACACTCAGGCGCTGCCGGCACCTGGAGAGTCCATAGGCGTTTTCTCAGATGTCACAACTACCGAGGCCTGGTTCACAGCTGAGTGACCACGATTCGACTCTTCACAGTCTTGACGGGCAATTTCTTTTGTGCAGGTGGGAGAGTTGCCCTGGTTTCCGAATGAGTTCGAGGTTGCGTTGATGCACAATAGGTCAGGTGCTTTGACCCTTGAACCCAGCTTCCTGAGCCTTTTACCTCTCCAGTTTGTCACACAAGTTCACGTTGTGAGTGAAATTGTGCTAGATCCGCTATCCACTAGATTGGACCTCAAACTGCAGGAGCATGTCGGAAGGAGCTGCACCTATCAATGATATTGCCCAGAAGGTGGGCAGCAAAGACGTGAAGTTGGATGTGCTCAGTAAAAGCTCATGAATGGAAACCAACCACGTGTGCTCAACAGACCAACGAGTTGCAACCTCCTGTTACATTTGTCGAAGGAAATCTTTGGCTGCAAACCGTTTGCTGGACCTAAGCCCACGTGGACTGAAGCTTCCAGTCGTTTGATTTACATTGCGCAACATGACAGGCACAGTATGTGAAGTGGAGAGGTAGGTACTGGAATGTGGTAGGTGCTGGATTACTTGCACTTGCAGCCAACGGTTTCTTTGGCATGCCATGCTTCCAGAGATATGAGGCACAACATGCGGCGGTTGGATTCAGGGTCCGAGCCTTTCTTCGGAGACTTGACCGTGGTTTTCAACAGCCACTTGCCGCAATGCCCATGCTGCAGACGTCTTTGCGGGGAAGTGTCGGAAAGCTTGAATAAGATGAATGAGACCGCCCAGGTAGCCGTGTGAAGGATTCGGTCGTCATTGCGCCATATGACACCGGCCTGTACACAATGATGTGCAGCTCGGAGAGTTTAGTGTCACGACGACATGGCTGCTTTTTTGAATCGCGTCGCAGAGTCAACCTTGGTGTCACTTGCACTGGGGTCAAGGTGTGAACACCACCCATGTCCGGGCGCGTCCGCGGCGGGGCGGACGCTCTGTTTCTGTGCACCACATATCGCACGGGTACCGGGCGTATTAGTATTAGTCATTTGCACATGATTCTCATCAGTGACCCAAAGTATCATCGCCTCGACCGAAATTCGAGGCATTCTCACACAGTGAAGAAGAACCAATTGCCACGATATCAAAAAGCGGTTTCTTTGCGAGAGCGAAGCACAGTTGCCTTTCCTCGCCACTCTACATCTCGGGGCGTCATGTCTGTCATTTCACCACCACTCCAGGCTTGCGCCCTGAAATGTCTGGTCATCACAAGATGAAGAAGTTCTTGCCACACTTGAACTGCAGTGCCTGGCCAGTAAATCTTCCTGTCGGTATCTTGGCCGGGTTAGAACTCGTTCTGAGCAACGGAGACAATAAGCATCAGAAGACGGCAGACTTCCATCCTGTGCCAACATCAGAGTTTCTGAACATGGATTCTTCACTTTGTTTTTCCCAGGTACCCTGGACTACCTGGACCACTTGATCTTGCCAAATCTAGCAGTGCCTCGGTAGTTGTAAGATAAGGGTTGTACCAGGGCAAAGCGTTTGGTGGAAAAGCATTCCGCAAGCTGAAGCTTCGGACGCTAAGGCTTAGTCCATGAGTAATGTCGAACACGAGTTTGATTGCAATATGTTTTTAGTAAGTAGCATCATATATCTATATACAATCTGGCGGTCGTCGCCAATGACCAGGCTCCAGTCAACAGCAGTGTCACAAATCGAACCATTTTGGACACAGCACGGGAGCTCTACACCCGCAGCGGCATGTCCAAGATAGACTATCAGGCTGGAACTGAGAGGCGCTTTTGACGGTGAGTTTCATGGTGCAGTACTATGGCAGCAGCGTGATTCACCATGGCTACCATGCAGTAGCGTGATTGGTGATTTGTTTCATGATTCGTACAAGCTCCTTGATTTTCAGCGTAATATATATATTTTTTTTGTGATGTGATTCATGATTCATGTGAGCAACCGTCGCACCATGGAATGAAGAGCGGAAGACCCACCTTCAATCTTAAGAATGTGCAACAAAACGCAGGGAAGTGACGGATCCTCCCCAAAAGCGAGGCCTCCCTAGAACATGCAGGATGAACATTGTCTCAAGTTTATTTATTACCTGCATGTCCTGAACACATAGATGATAGATGCGAACACACATATACAAATAGATTGTAGTTCCCTCAGACACGCTAGAGCCTGCTTGTGTGGCTGGGCATGTTCCGTTTCCATCACGCCTTCCTCCTGTAATTTTTACAGTTTTATGATTTCCTGCTCTAACTCTAGATTTGGAATCTCGGGTGGCACATAGAAGCGATGCCTGCTACCTTTCTTCTCAGCAACATTTATATTCCGGGTGGCTCACAAAAGGCATGTTCCGCTTGCATGCCCTTCCCTGTGCTCACAAAAGGAACGCTACGCGTCAACCTATGCTTTATCACGAAAGCTAGCGAAGCTAGCTGGAGTTACTCTTGCGATAGCAAGGTTTCTTTCGACCGGGTGCAAATCCTAACCCCTGATTTTTCAGGTCGAAGACCCCCCCCCCCCTCCCCTCTCCCCACCTCCCCTCTCCCCACCTCCCCCCCTCTCCTCCCCCCCTCTCCTCCTCCTTGTCTTCCTCCCATCTTCCCTCCCTCCCTCCTCCCTCTTCGCAAGTTCGACTCCGTCCTGTCGTCGCTCTTTGGCATGCGGTTAGCGTTGCGTATCTTGCGGCCGCACTCGCTCACTCTCACTCTCACTCTCACTCTCTCACTGTCTCACTGTCTCACTGTCTCTCTCATCTCTCTCATCTCTCTCATCTCTTTCTCATCTCTCTCATCTCTCTCTCCTCTCTCTCTCTCTCCTCTCTGTCTCTCGTCTTTCCGTCTCTCTTCTCTCTCTTCTCTCGCAGGAGGATCCGGGCAAAGAGCCACATATAAAGGACTCTTCACCCCTGCCTCCAAAAAGAGCGCCGTGTTTTTTCCTACCTCGCTGCCCTCCACTTTCCCATTCTGGAGCGCTAGCTTTCGCCCCCCCCTTGGCCTCAAGTACACCAAATCTTTCCCTCTGGCGACTCACAGCAGGTATGCGTTACGTTGGAATTGCTCCTCCCTCCTCTAAATTTTACCCTCGAATGGCTCACACAAGGTATCCTACGTCTCCTTGCTTCCTTCTTCCACTTAATTTTACCCTCGGGTGGCTCACAAAAGGTATGCGACGTTTCCATGGCTTCTTCCTCCTCTAAATCTTACCATTGGGTGGCTCGCAAAAGGTATGCTCTTTTCTAGAACCACGGCTCCCTCCTCCCTCATTTGTGACTTTAATCCCTGACCCTGAGCATGATTCGTGCTTCGTGACCCTGTCTTGGAGCTTCTCCGGATCACGTCTCGAGAAGGATGTGCCTGCGTTGGACTTGAGATCTTTGGGCGGCTACATGGACTCTCGGAGTGCACACTGACACTGGTTTGTTTTGGAGGCATTTGTGTTTCAGGTCTCGGTTGCCAGAGTCTGGGACTGGACTCAGGCGCAACAGCTGGGTGCTGGTTCAGCTCTGAACACCTAGCTTTGCTGACAATGCTTCCTCAAACATTTGTGTTGGATGTGTGCTTGTGGCATGTGGTGGCATAGGTATGTGGACATCTCATGTGGTTCTAACTTTAACTTGTATTCTTTGCGTGCAAGCCCTGCACGTGCACATTATATAAGATAAACCAAACACCTTGCTCCACTAGCAATTGCAGACGATGGCCGAGGAGTCAAACATTATGGCCAATCCTCGTTTGCCAGAGGCCTCAACTCAGAGTTAGTTTTTGGATTGGCAGAAGGTGAGATACGGTGGTGTATACAAGAAAGGCGCTGTGACACTCCAACCCTCAGGTGGTGAAATTCGGCATTGGCAACTTCGACACTCTTTTTGGCACAAAGGATGGCCAAGAAGTGCGGAAGATCTCCCAGCGATTCAAGTGGCCCCTGCCACCCTGGCTGCAAAGTGGAATGGTTCCAACAATAGATTGGCTTGATGCATTGATGACAGTTGCATGAGTTAGCCGCCAGTGGCTAGCGCAATCTCAGTATTGGAAAAAGGAGCAGGTTGTGAACTATGACCAAGCCATTTCGTAAGTTGCTACAGCATCACCTGTGATTCTAGTGAATGGCTCAACCCTTGGTTGTTGACTTTTGTTCCAGATTTGCAATTCAGTGTCCAAATTGCAGAGGATTGCAGTATCCAACAACCTTGAGCTCACAAGCATGACGAGCATGACTGGCTGCCGGATCTTATTTCAGGTTCTGGGCCTTCGGTGTCGGCATTGTAAAACCTCGTCCTCAACAAATGCAGCTGGGCTGACTTTGTGAGAAGCGCCAGGTCCATCTAGTTGAACAGGCATGACTTTTTCTGACTGGTACTGTTTTGCTGGGATATCATGGGTGGGTCGCTCTGCGCGGGCAACGAGTGCTCAGGAAGCTTCGTGCGCTTTACAAGCGTCACTTATTTGAACCAGACGTGTTTGCTGCTATTTCTGTCCTTCAGGGTGCAACTAAAATGATCAGTCAGATGTTTTCTTTTCTGGTGTCTCTGCAAACGCGGCCAGCAGCAGCTGAGTCAATCGTCGCATTGCTGATCCATCCAACATAGTGATGACTACCAATGCCTCGGAGCCTTTGATTGATATGCGGGTTGCTGCAGGCCTGTCTTTTCTCTTAAAATCTACCATGTTGTCCAGATGCATATTTCTTAGCGATGGCTGCATTTGACAAGAAAAAACACAAGGAAAAAGAATAAGAATAAGAAGAAGAAGAAGAAGAAGAAGAAGAGGAAGAGAGGAAGAAGAGGAAGAAGAAGAAGAAGAGAAGGAAGAAGAGGAAGAGGAAGAGGAAGAGGAAGAGGAAGAGGAAGAGGAAGAGGAAGAAGAAGAAGAAGAAGCAGGAGAGGAGGAGGAGGAGGAGAAGAAGAAGAAGAAGCGGGAGGAGGCGGAGGAGGAGAACAAGAAGAAGGAGAGGAAGGAGAGGAAGAAATCATGTTCATCATGAGCATGATACTTGATACCTTGCAATTGGATATGAAGGCAGATTCGATTAGCCATTTGTAGAATTACCTGAACAGTCATCTCCACTTGGCAATAGCCACTTTCCCGTGCCAGACCTGATTCTTTTTGTGCCCTCGCTGCAAGCTCCCACCTTCTTGGCAGTGCCACTGAACCTCTTGTACAGCATAGCACATGAGGTAAGCAGCGGAGCAGTGGCCAGCTTCGAGGCTGTATGGCAACAAGCCGCTGCTGTGTGACTCAGCTTGTTCAGTTCAGCCTTTGGCTCTTGGATATGAGGCATTATTTTTGATGAACTCTTTCCAAAACCTACAAGCTAGTCCAAGGCGTGCAAGCCGCAATGCCACAGATGAGGATGTACTTCAGCAGTCTGGATGCACGAAACTGCATTTGCACAAGAGGGCAGGTTGAATGCTGATGTTGCAATGACGACGCAACTATATTGGCACTCTTGGAGGAGTGCCCCATCCCATTGTAATGCTTACTGTAGCCCTACAGCGGTGGTGGACCGCAACAGTACGTCTCATTGTGGCCTGTACGGGTCCTGGTGTAATCCAATGCAATTTGTAATTAGGAGGGGTGTGCCTCACCGCAATTTAGCACCGCTCCAGGGTGGGTAAGAAGCTGTTTGTTTTTGGCTTTTGGTGGGTGGAATGTGGGTGCAATCTTTGAACACGGCCAAGGTGGTGGAATTCCTTGGAGCAACAGCTCCAGGTTGCGCCAGTGTCTGCGGATTCTTGTGCTCGGCCGCATGACTGTGTCCCTTCGGCTGCACGGGTCAGGTGAGATTTGGAGATCTGCACAGCTAGTCAGCCCTTCCAGTTCCAGCACTATGTCATGGCTTTCCTTTGTCCAAGGTAGCAGTTGAGCCCTCGAGCAAGGATTGTATATGCACGTTGCAATTGCAGAACCACGGCCGGTCGGAACAGAAGATATTCACAGTCTAGTGAGGCGCTGCTAAATGGGACGTGTCAAGTCACAGTTCCGGAGAGGAACGAGTTTGCCCTACAAGTGCTTCTGATGCTTCGGCATATCTCAAGTCTTTCTCCTTGCAGTGTGTCAGGCGCAATCGCAACTGTATTGCTTTTGGAAGCAGCAGCGTTTGGCCAGTGACGCACGCTTGGTGCGCATGGAGTGAGAGTGCGTGTGTTAGCCAGCCCTTCAGCCTCGCGAGGAAGGTTGGCTTTCTTTTGAAGCTTGCTTTAGCAGCTTTGCGTTTCACATTGCTTCAGTGCACAGTGAGAGAAGCTCAGTTGAAGATCAAAGTGCCATTCAGTTTGAGACGTGTGCGTTGCACCCCGCTAAGCAAGGGATGCAGGTGAACCGAGAGCTGTGAAGAGAAGGATTCCAACTAGGGATCGAGGAGCGCCTTTGCTTTTTGCATGAGACCCCGGCTCAGCCTGGTAGGGCAGGGACACTGGCCATGGCCCTGAAGCTTCTGCCATTTCTAGCCCTTGTGGCCCAGGCCTGCAGCGCAACCTTCTGAAGACCGCAGTGTGAAAGCTTTCTCATTTCTCAGTGACTCCTTACTTCACGTAGTCACTCCTTCACAAGCTGCTTAACACAACTCTTGCCTTCGATTGCTGATTGAAACAACCAGTCACTATCGAAGACTGTTACGCAAAGCAAAAAGTAGCTCACCATCGAGTTTTGTAGTTGGATTTGCGTTTTGCTGCCAGTGGACGCGCAGTGCACTTGTGCCATGTATGTTCCTTGCCGTCGTGTAGTCTTGGGTTGATTCTCTTGATCCTACCAGGCGGCAGACTACAATATCGTTAACTTGGACAACAACACTCTCAAGCTGCTAACCGGCCACAGCCTTCCTGCATTTGTTCGCTTTGACCGGGATTACCCCTATGGCGAGAAGGTGAGCTGCATCCATTGGAAACCCAGTCGACTTGTAATGTAAGATGAACATACATAAACCATGTAGCTAGAGGTCGGCTGTGTGTGATTGGCACACTATTGTGTGCACTAGCTCCAGGCAAAACACTCCCATGTGCCCACAGTTGTTGCACTCATGTGCCCCATGAGCGCCAACAGCCAAACTGAAAGCACTTTGTGCCACTCTGTCCTCTTTCTTGCCGGAACTCAAAGTCCCGAAGGCTGACGCCTTCAAGGCGGTGGCGCAGACTGCAGTAGGTGCCCAGGTGGGAGTGAAAATGATTAGGACAGGATTGATTTACTACTTACTTGATTTGATTTGCTTTTGCTTTTTCATTTTGCTGCTTTCTGATGTATTCTTGGTGTGAGGTCCTGATTGGCACAGTTGGCATCTCCACCTATGGTGAGAAGATGAATCAGGCGCCACTGCTACCAATCCGTTTGAAGTTCATTGATCGCAACACTGCAAGCTTGCTGGAGCAGAAGGGATGGCTTTGTTTCAGGATCTGGCGGAAAGGTTTGGCTACAAATCGCCAGACAAAGATCTGGAATACAGTTCTGCGGCCGCATGATTGTGACAATCCTGACGTCCCACTATACCCCAGAGAGTGAGCTAAAGCCAGGTCTTTGAAGCATCACGTGTAAGATCCTCAGGTGACATGGACAACATCTTTCCCAAATATCGCTTCTTCCCGGCCAATGGTGGTGCGGATATCGAGTATACTGGACCCGTGACTGCTGATTCGATGACGCTGTTCCTGAAGAAGGAGCTTCTGAGCCTTTTGTTCACGACAGTGGTGGCACAATCCAACCCTGCCGCTCAGGAGGCCAAGATCTACTTCGGCCTTAAAGGAACAATTCGCGAGTTTGACAAGCCTCTTGGCAGAGCGCAGGTCCGAGTCAGATAATATACAGTACTCACATAATTACACACACACACACATGGGTTTCGCATCGTAAGTAAAAACGAGAGACCCAACACTTTTAACCGCAGTGTCGTGGCTTAAGGGAGTTGATGGCCCAAGCTCCTGGAGGAGGTGGTGGCGAGCGACCTGAAGGTCTAACTCGAGCACCGGCTGAGGCGGCGAAAGCAGAGCCCAGCGAAGAAGAGAAGCAGGAAGCCCCGGCATCATCTTCAGCACCAGTTGAGGTCAAGAAGGAGGAGACAGCCCCCACAGGTGGCGTGACAGAATCGGGGAAGGAAAGTAGACCTCCCTGGCATGCCGGAAGCGGCCCAAGGAAGAGGCCAGTGTCAGCAAGGACACCCCTGAGTCTGGAGATCGTGACCGCGCTGGTTCAAGAGAGAAGACTGAGGTCTTCGAGCAGGAGGTGACCACTGAGGAGAAGGACAGAGCAGCAGCCAGCGATCCACAGGCCTTTGGATTGCAGCTACATCGAAGCCCTCCACACGCGATCCGAGAACGCCCTCCCGGAGTCGGTCGAGGGGCAAGGGGAGGCGAGTCAAGAAGGAGGAGGTTGAGGCTCCCGCGGAAGAAGAAGCGGGGGCGGAGGAGGCCCCTGGAGGTGAGACAATCTCCGAGTACGAGGAATTGGCCGAGCCCATTCCACATCCCGCACCATCGAGGAAGAGACCAAAGCCCAGTCATCGGTCGGGGTCTGACTGGAAGGGACCCATCCTGGCTCCCCGACGCCAGGCCTTTTGGCCGCAGGCCAAAGGAAAAGGCAGAAAGAGAAAGAGAAACAAAGGGCTCAAAAAGAAGGCGAGGGACAGAGAATTCAAGTATCAGAAGAGCATTGATCCCACATTGCGCCGAAGAGGATGAGACGGCCCGCAGCAGAGCTTGGCAGGAGGAGAGTCAGAGCAAGGCCTGCCGCAGAAGATCCACCTGGGGACGGGTGGATTCGAGCCGAGGACATAGAGCTGAAGACACTTCGAGGACTGAAGGTGGTGCACATCCAGGGGCAGTATTGGGAGAGCGAGGCCGAAGTCGTGGGAGAGATTTCAGGCATGTTGATGGGGGAGGACGGAGCGTGGGTGACCTTACGCACCCATGGAACGTCCACCGAAAGCATCCTGAAGTTCATCAGTGGGCGAACTCGGAAGGAACTTCAGGTGCATCTGTGCGACAAGCCCTGTTCAAACCTGACTTGGCGACACGAACTTCCATGCCGAGCGCCTCAAGGCGGCAGAAAGAGGCAAAGGTCGAGGAGACGCTCACAAGGCCGAGGTGGCCGTCGAAGATCTCCTGGGAAAGGCGGAGAGGAGACAAAGCCGCGGGAGTGAAGCCCATCATTCTGCAGTATTGCCGGCAACAGCTATGTCAAAATATGAGCCCCCCGGTAGCGCGGGAGGCGTTGCATTGGGCTGCAACGATGGACATGTTGTTGGAGGGGAGAGTTTCCTCGGCGTTGGACGTGATGTGCCAAAGGCTGAAAAGCCTGGAGGGCTTGGCCTCCAACACCGAGGTGAACTTGGCAGGCCAAGCGGCGCACCAGGAGGCCAAGGTGATGCATCGGGCCAGCAGTTCTGCGTGGGAGCGGCCCAAAGGCAAGGACAAGGGAGGCAAGAGCAAATGGAAGGAGGAGCGGTCAGAGACCAAAGGCGAGAAGGGAAAGAAAGACAAGGGCGATGGCAAGAAGAAGGCGCAGTGAGGCTGGGAGGAGCCGGAGGGTGAACCTCTCCTGGTGGTTGAGATGGATGAAGATCCGGCTACTCCCGAAGAGGAGGCAGCTGTGAGGCCCGACGGCCTGAGGTCAAGCGAGATTGAATTCGAGGGTGAGCCAACCACGCAGTCGAGAAGACGGAGAGTGGGGTTTTACCTGGCTTGCATATCATCTTCCAGCGAGCGGCTGGCCTGTTGCGGAATGACGAGCACTCCATGACAAGGCGCTCCAACAAGGACCTCGAGATGGTACCCAACGCACCATTGTTTCCGCTGCCGGTGGATTCATCGCATTGGGCTGCTGTTCTCGAGTCCGGCCACCCGCTTGCTTGGCTCAGTGCTCTCAAGCGTATGCCGCGGCTTGAATCATTTGGCTGGATTCGTTAGCGCTGACGTACGGCTGGAGGGCAGCAGTTCTTCGAAGGTGACCACGCCTTGCTCAACGACCTGGCAGGCACCAATTGAAAAAAGGCTGGCGGCCGTCGTGAGTCGAAATCGCTGTTGGTTTGAAACGGACACGGGGGTTTGTTTTGATAGCTTTTTCATGAAAAGAAAAGTTGACTATATGGGGGAGGAAATTAAGATTGCGCAACGAATGTCGTGGGCGGCTATCCAAGAGTAGCTCCCAGCTGGAGTAGGCAGCTTGCCTCTTGACAAGTTCTGTCGATTGGGCACCTTGGAGTACGTGAACAACTTTGAAAGATACCTGGTCCCCAAGGATGTACAAGTTAGGCCCAAGCCTCCACGAGTCATGTGCAGTGATTCAGTGGCCAGACATCTGTGCTGGACTGGTGAGCAAGGGGGTTTGTGAGATCTGGCCGATAGATCACCTACATCACATTGATGGTTCTCCATTGCTCAATGGGCTGTTCTCGGTAGGCAGTTCAAGGGCACGCTGGAGGCTCAACGGCTGATCATGAATTTGGTCCCAGTCAACTCAGCTTGACGGGAGACGTAGGGACGCTTCCCGCTATCTCAGGGATGAATGGATACCTCCTGGATCAAGGGGAGGTGGCGCTTCTGTCCAGTGAAGACATACGTTCACCGCAATGTGGTGCGATGGAGTTCGATGTCCGGTGACAACTATGTGGGAGCTGAAGGTGAAGTGCGAAAAGACAGACCCATGTCATCAGCTCTCAACCTATACAGGGTATATTTGGACAACTTTGATGCCTTGGAGCGTGTGGACTGCCAGTTGGCTGGCGAGATCAAGGGAACCGTTTCTCCACAAGTTGAGCAGCTGAGGCAATGCTACGAGGAACTTGGTCTGCCTCGGCATCCCAAGAAGGCTGCTGAACGAGTAACGCAGGGTGAGATGCAGGGAGCACTGCTTGATGGCGAGCTGGGGTGTGCCATGCCCAAACCTCAAAAGCTGATCCAATACTGCAAGTTGGGATTTGAACTCCTGGTCAGGGGGCAGTCGACCCTCCGGGAGCTTCAAGTCGTGTGTGGCGGATTTGTGTACATTGCTATTTTCCGGCGTCCACTTCTTTCCAGATTGAACGGTGTTTTTGAGCATATGAAGAGGTGCGATTGCCACTGCCCAAACAGGTCAAGGTGGAGATCGCACGATTCATTGTATTGAGTCCTTTAGCCCAGATTGACTTCAGAGTGCCAGTGGATGGGGAAGTGACGGTCTCTGATGCCTCCACCACTGGAGGAGGGCTTTGTGCCTCAGTGGGGCTCACGTCCTACGGCATGGCAGCTGCCAACTGCCCGGCTCGAGGTGATCTTCCAGAAGAACACGACTTGGTGCAGGTCCTCAGCGTGGGGCTCTTTGATGGGATCCGAACCCTGCGGGTGGCTTGTGATGTTGTGGGACTACCAATGGCTGGACATGTTACTATTGAGATGGACCCCAAGTGTTGCCGAGTCGTAGAGAGCTTCTTCCCCGAGACCGAATTCCATGAGGAAGTGACGGCCTTGGGGAGTGAGCAGGTGCAGGCATTAGCTCTGCAATACAGCAATGTGGTGCTGGTGCTGGTGGGCGCTGGTCCCCCCTGCCAAGGGGTGAGTGGTCTGAACGCTGACCGCAAGGGCGCACTACGCGATGAGAGGAGTAAGAGGTACCTCGAATCACCCAGTTGTTTCGGGAAGCGTTCCCCTGGGCCCAAGTTCACGAGCTCATTGAGAATGTGGCCTCAATGAGTCTTGAAGGCAGAGAGATCATGAGTCGAGAGTTTGGCCGTACACCTTTCCGCATTGATGCCAAAGGAATGTCGCTCTGTGTTCGGCCACGCCTATACTCTGTGACATGGGAGCTCTCGGAAGGGCCTGGGGTCCTAGCAGGCGAGAGTTCTGGAGGCGAATGGAACGCTTGTCAACCTTTACAGCTGTCTGGTGATGTTGATGGCAAGGCCCTCCTGTTGCCGGGATGGGACCTCAGGCCGGGTTGCCACTTGCCTACGTTGACAACTTCCCGACCAAGGTCAAGTCCAGGGAGGCGACCCGCAGGACTACATCACTGCCAGGAACATGAAGTGGCACGGTGGGAGGCTGACAGGCATCGCTTTCCACCATACAAGCAGTTCCCGGGCAAGCCGGCGGCGGAAGTTTCCTATAAGAACAAACTGACCTATAGGAGTGTCCACGTTCTCTCCAACATGCGCGTCCTCCAGTCAAACGCACGCGCTCCGGACTTGTGCCCCCTGCAGGATCAGCAGCTCACAACAGCGTACTGGGTTGTATCTTTGCCACGACAAGAGGGGTGTATGACGAGTGGTGTATGATGAGTGGTGTATGACGAGTGGTGTATGATGAGTGGTGTATGATGAGTGGTGTATTGACCAGCAGTTGTATTGACCAGCAGTTTTTGTCCTGCATAAATGCAACCAAATACTATCAGTATGAACTGTGCCAAACCTGCACGCCGGAGAGATGACTCAGCAGCGAGAGATGACTCCTCCGCGTACTACACTTGTACTACAGCTTCCAGCTCCACAGGTTGTTCCGCGTGCTAAAGTTGTACCAGAAAGTTGCCAGTTCTCAGCTTCCAGCTCCACAGATACTCCGCGTACTAAAGTTGTACTACAAAGTCGCCAGTTCTCATCGTCCAGCTCGCCAGATACTCCACGCACTAAAGTTGTACTACAAAGTCGCCAGTTCTCAGCTTCCAGCTCACAGATTGCTCCGCGTACTAAAGTTGTACTAGAAAGTCGCCAGTTCTCAGCTTCCAGCTCTACAGATTGCTCCGCGTACTAAAGTTGTACTAGAAAGTCGCCGGTTCTGAGCTTCCAGCTCTACAGATTGCTCCGCGTACTAAAGTTGTACTACAAAGTCGCCAGTTCTCAGCTTCCAGCTCTACAGATTGCTCCGCGTACTAAAGTTGTACTAGAAAGTCGCCAGTTCTCAGCTTCCAGCTCCACAGATACTCCGCGTACTAAAGTTGTACTACAAAGTCGCCAGTTCTCATCGTCCAGCTCGCCAGATACTCCGCGCACTACAGTTGTACTACAAAGTCGCCAGTTCTCAGCTTCCAGCTCACAGATTGCTCCGCGTACTAAAGTTGTACTACAAAGTCGCCAGTTCTCATCGTCCAGCTCGCCACATACTCCGCGTACTAAAGTTGTACTACAAAGTCGCCAGTTCTCAGCTTCCAGCTCCCCGGATGCTGTGCCTGCCACAAAGTGCTGTGCCTGCCACGAAATCTGCACATGGAGGTTCACAAAGTGCTGTGCCTGCGTAGAAATCTACACATGGAGGTGCACAAAGTGCTGTGCCTGCCACGAAATCTGCACATGGAGATTCACAAAGTGCTGCGCCTGCCACGAAATCTGCACATGGAGGTTCCCAAAGTGCTGTGCCTGCCAGGAAATCTGCGCGTGGAGGTTCACAAAGTGCTGCACCTGCCACGAAATCTGCACACGGAGGTGCACAAAGTGCTGTGCCTGCCACGAAATCTGCACATGGAGGTTCACAAAATGCTGCACCTGCTACGAAATCTGCACATGGAGGTTCCCAAAGTGCTGTGCCTGCCAGGAAATCTGCACATGGAGGTACACAAAGCGCTGCACCTGCCACGAAATCTGCGCATGGAGGTTCACAAAGTGCTGTGCCTGCCAGGAAATCTGCACATGGAGGTACACAAAGTGTTTCGCCTGCCACGAAATCTGCACATGGAGGTTCACAAAGTGCTGTGCCTGCCAGGAAATCTGCACGTGGAGGTTCACAAAGTGCTGCGCCTGCCACGAAATCTTCACTTCAAGAAACAAGTGAAAACTCTAATCCCAATGGACGGACGATTCCGAGAATGATCCGAGCATGATCCGAGAATGATCCGAGCATGACCCGAGACCGTCTCGCAACCGTCGTTCCGCAGACCTTGACTTGCCAGCTTCGGAGCCACCGGTTCCATTGAAAAATACAGCATTTCGTGCGTTCGCTATCTCTCCGCAACGCATTTTGTATTGCGCCTGCCACGAAATCTGCGCATGGAGGTTCCCAAAGTGCTGTGCCTGCCAGGAAATCTGCACATGGAGGTACACAAAGTGCTGCGCCTGCCACGAAATCTGCGCATGGAGGTTCACAAAGTGCTGCGCCTGCCAGGAAATCTGCGCATGGAGGTACACAAAGTGCTGC